TTTCTCAAAGTTTCAAATGAGATATGAAAAGTATACCTGCCATGAAGTCAAAGGACAGTTTGCCAACGAAAACAATGCAATCCCACCTAATCCGATAATCAAAGAACCTCAGCATCATGGGAACATGACAATTAGATCATCCCAAAATCACTAGCAAGGAAATGACTCCTTTAACCAAGACAAACATGAAGTTGAACCTGAAGACCATTCATTACATTTCTATGACCAAACTTCATAAACTTACTCCTCCCAAATATGTAATAGCAAAGAATATCACAGACACTTCCACAATCTACAACCATCCTTCTCACAATAAAGTTTCTGATCTGCATTGCAAATACTAGTAGATTATTCTAAAGAGTTATAATCCCTTGAGTACTTATAAAATCTCTCAAAACCAGATGTTTAAATCTTAATTAAATGTTAAACCATGTAGTGACATTATTTGGCATGCATATCAAGACCTCAATAACTCTATGTTGAGCATTTGTCGAGTGTGTGTCAAGTGTCAGTTTAATACTGTGTAAATTTTGATCCACTTCAAGCAAAATTATACAATTTATGCCAATTAAATATAAAAGCAACAAAAAAAGAAAAAAGAAAAAGAGATATTAAGTGCTTTTGACCAAAATACCCATTTGGCTCCATAAATTGCGCTCTCTGCAAGCATGGTAAATCAGTAAATCATCCAAATGCAAATATACCAAATCAACAAGACTCATTAGTAATTTAACCAAATAAAAGATATAGAGAAACAATGTAACATGCAGACCAAAGTAGAGGACAGGTTCAAATGCAAAATATAAGTTTAAATATAAAAGAGTAATTAAGAAAGCGAAAGCTGCAAAGGCAAGATCTTATCAAAAAATTAAAGAAACTATAATCGAGAATTGAAGAAAGTGAACGAGGTGGAGAAGGAAACTCAAATGGACAATTGAAGAAAACAAAAAAGGAGTACCTTAGACAAGTTGACGGCTCTAGGTCTGGATCAACTCCAGACATTCTCAATTGGCAGGCTTTCAAAGCAATGAATTGCTAAACTCATCTCAATCTTAATGCTAAAAGACAGAGACTAGGAATTCCAAATATTCAAAAGAACAATTATTAACTATAACATATAGCTCCAATTTCAGAAAGCCAGAGCACAAAGCCAGAAACTTCTTCGGTAACATAAATCCCCTTATCCCATCAAGCTTAAATACCCTCAATCCTTAAACAGTTTTGTCATGAAAAAGGCTAAGACAATGCCATTTTCTTCCAGCAAAGGTGTAGTTGAGAATTTTCATTATCTAAATGGCACCTCCAAATTTCCCACAAATGCAAACTGGCCAGAATAACTAAAAACTATTTAACGCGAATGCAAGATATGATACAACATTTTTATGAACAAGTCCAAAGCACGTATCAGTCTTAATCAAGAGTACAGTTGAGTTGCTAGAACTTCATATGACAAAGGGTGGACATTTACATCTACAGACAATTTTGTTTCCTCACATATTCTGATATAATTAATCTAAAGCCTCCTCCACAACCTTGGATTAGGCAGACAAAATTGGTTTTGCTGACTAATGCAGCGGATATATCATATGGCTTTCAATCGCTCAATCATTCACGAATAAATGACACACAAAGACCATAATTCAGAAACCAATCAATCACTAAGGCTGACAACATCCTTATTACTAGAAACAGAAATTAAAGAAACAACAACAATTGAGGGTAACAGAAAGAACAAAGGTAATTACATCTTCCGTAGACATTGTTGTGGTCTATCTTAAAATGCGATCCCTTTATGAGAAAAGAACACCCATTATCAAGAAATAAAAACCATAAAATACAATAAGAAAAACTCACCGTAAGTCGTGTAACCGCAAGAAGACCCTGAAGGAAGCATGGTCGCCGACGGCATGGAAATTGGATTGCGGGAAGAGGCGGTCACTTCTTCTTTGTAGGCGAAAACAGCTTCCGAAGGTAAAACCCTTATTAATACAGAAATTCTTGTTCAGGATTCATGTTGAAGAACGAGGAATGAAAGATGGACCTTCATGGCGGAGAAGAGAACTCAAACCAAAAGCAAAATATCACCAATCTATTGAGATTTTCGATAAAAAAAAAAAAAGAAAAAGTTCTTGTTTATTTCGAAAGCATGCGAGATTTGAAGGACCGACGTTAAGGTTTCTCTTCCGGGAATGTTGAGGAGTGAAATTTTCTGACCGTTGGGGTTAAGTGGGTTCGGAAAAACGGCTCTTTGGTTATTATAAAAATAAAAATTTAATTAAAAAAGGGGTAAAAATCAAGCTGATTTGGTTTTCTTTAGGTTTTTTAATCTTAATAAAAAAAATTTTAAATAATTTTATATTAAAATTATAACTCACTTTATAAATTTATTTAAATATTTTTAATAAATTTATTTTTATTTTATTAAAGATATTTAAATAAATTCATAAAACAAATTATATATTAATATACAATTCATCTTATAAAATATTTTTTGTAATATTTTATAATTTTATATATGATGCATTAATATATATATGTTTTGATGAACTGAAATGTTTTAAAAAGGAATCATTTCATGCTGCAATTTTAAAAGTTAAAATTAAAAATTCAATTAAGAATATTCTTTTCCATATTTCATGGTTAAAATTAAAAGAAATATTAATCTATATTCTTTAGATTTAAGAACATTGTTCTTAATATAAACTATTGAAGCCTGTAAGAAAGCACAATGAAAGTATAGTAGAGGTTATATCTTTAATATTAACCCTAAATTGAGATTTCAGGCAATCACCTCAACTTGAACTATTCCACTTTCACTTTCTTAATTTTGTTAATATTACTTAAAGAAGTTAGTACCTTTTACGGCAAAAATTTGAAATTTAAATCGTCGATTTAACTCCACAATCAAAATTTTGAAGGTAAGACAGGTATCAAATTGATGACCATGGAACATGTATAAACTTGAAGACTGTAAGACGTAGTATGAAACTAGGGTAGTTATATCCTTTTTATCTTTAGGTATACACAGATGATTTACAAATTGTAAGAGGTATGATCTTAGGCAACTTCTGAAACAAGAAGACAAGTTAAACTCTCTGTCTCTGAGATCTTCGGGTACCCTGAAAAAGACAACAATTTTTTAGCAGCCTCTTCCCTGCATGTGATGCTCAATTTATTAAACCAAAAGCAGAAACGGCTGAGACTGCATTCTAGCAAACAACCACCAAGTTGTATGCTCTTATGACAGATGAAATATTAACAAGGAGTTAAAGAGGTTCTCACAGTAGCTTGATTTGTATTGGCAATGTTGGATAATGATGGGTCTCCAGCAACTCTACCTCCCCTCTTTCTTTTGGCTGCATCAGAAATTGAAAAGGGTAAAAAAAAAATTATATAAGAAACTGTTCAAAGGGAATGGGGCGAGCATCATAACTAAAAGAATACCATAAAACTGAAACCATTCTACTACAACTACTAGTTCAACACATTAAACACTTAAACGACTGAAAGCCCTATACAAATGAGCCAAATGGAGCTAAACTACTTGGACTTCCTTACTGACACAAAATAAGTAATAATTTTATAATTTATTGCTATAGATCTCTAAAAATGCCCAAAACAAATAAATTTTTGGAAGCTTACCAGCCAAAGGAACTGTTTTTCTAGATGACTTCTCGGTCTCCACATTTGATGTGCTCTTTGACTGTTGGGGAGCTACATCTCCAGACGTATTTACACTATTGACCGAAGAATGTCCCACAGGATAGAAGCAAATGACAAGAAGTGAGACCAAAAGTAAAATGAAATAAAATAAATACAATAAGTGACAAAATCCACAAAAAAGATCCCCTCATTTAAAAATCTATAGCTTCAATAATCATCTGTAAAATACTTGGCAACAAATTCTTTCATAAGTAAAATCATGCAAAATCTAAAAGCAAAATTACGAAGAAATTTATAGGGTTCTTTAAAAGATCTCAGACAAACATGAGAACACTGAAAATGTGGTGGGCACCATGGGAGGTATGTACTTTCTTAAGTGAAGCAAGATGCCGCTTAATAGAAATAGAAACAAAACCAGAGGAGACCAACATGTCAAAGAAGGTGAAGGGATGGGATACAAAACATCATGTTGTGAAGAGATCTACTTACCAATGCTGCAAATATAAGCTGTTTGACTTATCAGCCAGTACCCCCTTCTTGCATTGCAAAAAGCAACAGATCAATTGTTAAGATTCAAAGCAAAACAACAGCAAAAAATGCCAAAGTAATCTAAAACCAATCAATGAATTGAAAAAGAATATAGGACTTAAAAACAATGCACCAATCATACTTGCTATTGCTTGTCAGATGAAAGGATTCTAGTTTTCACACTTACCCTTTGTGTCAGGGAAGTGTCATTTATGGTCTCCATGCTCTCGCTCTCCAAGCATAACAATTCAACTTTACCACCGCCAGATGTGACCTGTCATTTGCTGAAGTCAATTTAAAACAAAAGGATACAAAGAAAAAAGAACAACCACAAGCACTAGTTACAGCAACTCTTAGTAGGGCAGTACATTCTCTCAGTTTAGTTAATAGAGCTAAATTTTCAAAGAAACCAAATTAACTGAATTGTTGAAACCAAAATAAAATAACTTCTATATTAATCAATAAAATCTGGTACTGTGTATTGATCATCTGCCTGAGTGACTGACATTTAGGGCAGTATATTAAAAGGTGAGTTAGTTAAGAAAACAAGATGAAGCAGCATAATAACACAATATGAATTTCTCTTCCCCCCCCCCCCCCCCAAAAAAATATATATGTACACTACAGATGACTAAGCAAAATAGAGTTTAAAATACTGATGAATGACTGGAAAATATGATTACATGATTGAATCCTATATCAAGGAAATGTCAACCATGGAATATGGATGATAGTAATTATTGGTTCACAGATTAGACAATAGTAGTACCTCTGAACTGTGAGGTTTCTTAACCCTCACTTCAGGATCCTTAAAAGGTTGAACAGAAATACCACCACCTACATCAATATTTTCTTTCAAAGCAATGCCTTTCTCTACTCCCTTATCTGAAACTTGAATATCAGGAAAAGAAGGTACAATTCTCACAGAATCACACGAAGAATAAGGTTGTTCCTTCTCAACTGAAGCTTCAGAGTTTCTAGATGCCATAGTTCTCTGCTCCCTAATACTAGAATGCTTACCGTCTAGTCCAACAGATCCAAGTGCATTTAGAGAGACAGCTTGTTTTTGCCCAAGTCTCAAACTAATTTCCCGCCTATTTGGTTTCTCTTGAGTTTCCATTGTCCCACTAGTTGACAAATAACCTTGCTTGCAGAATAGCATGCTTGATGTACTATCTTCATTAGGTTTTTTATCACGTTTATGAACAGTGGTATCTGGCTGAAAAGTAATAAGCACAGGTAAGGAAAGAAATTGCCAGGCATGCAGATAACAATTCAACACAAACATACCAGGGAAACATGAGTTCTGAAAAAATGAATGACTTTCTCCACAAAACTTGGCTCCAAATGGAATTGAGAAAGATGTCTAGACTTATCCTGCATGCAACAGCTAGAATTAGAATTTTATATAACATTTTAACTGCAATCAACTCAATGCATCTTCTTTAGAACATGCCTCTATACTTTTCTTAGAAAGATTTATTCTATATAATGATGATGGAAGCAGAATCAGCCCAGGTGCATGTGGTGAGCTGGTGCCATTGTGATGCAAAGAATTTACTGCTGATATTCCAATATCTGCTAGGAGATGCAGCCGCTGCATTTTTAAAAAGCACTCTTATCTTCAGAAAAGTTCTTGCCGTACCAAAATCAAAATGCATTATCAACCCAATGAACAAAAAGGTAAAAGACAAATCTCACAGGAGTCCTCTGAGAATCAACAGCATCCTCAGCTCTTTTAATAGCCCGAAAAATGCAAACCAAATATAGGGCAGCATTATTAATGAGATACAAGTCACCATCAACAACACTAGGGTCGACTAACGCCCGCAAGACTGAAAGAAGTGGACTGCAAAAGGAAATGATCTCAAGTAAAATCACCAAAACTGAAAGTTAAACATTCAGCACCAGGCAGCTTGGAGGCAATCATGTCTTCAGAATCACATTTACCTACAAAATAGAGCATACACCTCTTCATCTTGACAGCCTTCAGATGGGAACCCTGTCTCGTGAGCAAGAATATGGATCAAGTACACAACTATATATGCTGGATAATCTGTAATCGATCCCCCTTCTGCCTTGGAAGTTTGTTGATTTTGAGCTTCTCTGCTATATTTCTTGATGAATTCTGCCATATACTTCAATGACTAGGAAAAAAAACAAGTTTCAGCAGGTCTAAACCAGAAAAGGCAAATGCTACAAAACTAAGAAATTAATATCACAAATATACATCATCTTGCAGCTCCTTGAGGTAATCAGAAGTTGCCAAAGCAAAAGCACATGCATATCTACTAGGTATAACATGTTCCCTCAACAGTTTGTAGGTTTTAACAAGAAACGATCTCCTGACAAAAGCAGAAGAGTCCTGAAACAGAGAAAACACTATGGAATAAGCATAAAAAATATGAAAAACTTGCCAAACACACTTCTAGTTTCAGCACCATATAAAGGGCTTTTACGGTAAATTGTTCTTAATTGGCCTTGCAATCAATATGTATGTATTTGGAAATAATTCTTTTTCAGAAAGTCAAATTTGCTTACTTTTGCTGTCATAATTGTGAAGTGAAAAATATCTGCAGAAATATGTAAGTCCCATCTTCTGGAAAGGCAGAGAACAGATTTTGCAGCAGCCAATCTAATGTGGGCCTTGTCAATTTCACTGTATTAGACAACAAACATAACATGTGTAAGCACAAAAGGAATCTGCAATCATCATATGATTAAAAGTAAGAGGGGGTTTATGTACAAAATAGTTTGCATACTTATATAGTTATATCTACTTCTCATTAATTCTTTAAGCACTGTAACTACTTGATATATCAGTCACTGGTTTAACAGAAAGATTGTTTTGTTTTACCCTATCATTCCCTAGGGAAAAATGCCCTGAAGTACAGAAAAGGGCTTTTGTGGCCACTATGGCCTTCTATGATGTTTTCCAAATATTTCTATTACATATGTGCAATAGAAAAGCAACTACAGGACTTAATGTTATTGAAGAAAAATGCAAAATATTAAAAAAAAAAAAAAAGGTTGAAAAAATATGAAGCAATATACTAGATGCCACACCTTGATATGGTACCATCAAATATACCACCCTTCTGCAGCATATTTGACAGTACTTCCAACAATTTATTAATTTGCCTATTGACATGAGATCCTGAATGCGGCAAAAAACTCCTAACAAGTGTCTTAAGCCCATAAATCTGTGAAACGCAAACAGTAAAATAAGTTAGAGATAATTAAGCTCCCCTACAACAAGTGCAAGTGAGATTTCTTGACATCTAAAATTCAAAATTCCAGAGATTATTGAGGCCTTCCTTGCTTACATGCTTCCTGAACCTAGACTTTAAAATGTTTTTTCTATTTCTTTCAGTAAAGTGTGAATCAAGAACTTGGACAAGCAAATGTTTAATGACTATACAATGAATCTGCTCTCACAAGAGCAACAAGCATGTGCAAAAGTTATGAACATGAAAAAGTAAATTGCATTTTTTTTTCCTGTACCATACAAAGCAATCTACGACACCATGAATTTTGCAACTGCAATCACAACCTGAAAGAGAACCTATATTTCCTTCTTATGCTTCCTTGAATAGGGTAAGGTACATTCCAACTAAGTAATAGATATTCTGTTGCTGGTCATCAGTCACCTGAATTTAGCTTAAGAGTTGTCATCAATTTATCCCTTTAAGCAAACCCATGCAGACTTGAAAGATAAAATTCAGATATTAGAAAGTTAAAAATCAAACTACATAACAGAAGAAATTCACATAATTAATAACACAAATTATATTAGCACACAAAAAGAGTTATTCTCTAGCACTTGCCATCAGGTTGCAAATGAAATCTACAGGCTGCAAGAATCTATAAATAACTTATGCTCATAAACAAAAGTTCCCTGCTCACGCACTTACCTTCAATTTGCAAGAAGCAGAACAGTCAACAGTCTCCTCAAATGAAATAAGATCATCTAGGGGGTTGGTCTTCAATAAATAAATTCACATGAGTTTTCCAACAATATCCAAAGTACAGGGAGGCACAATATATGCAGCCTCAACAATTATTGCAAGACAACACATAAGGAGACATCAAGTACCTGAAAGATATTTTCATAAATATATGGTGTAATTTGTGCATCTTGAGCTTCAAAAACCCCAACAAAATGTTGAGAAATACAGCCCAATGACTGCAAGACAGTGGGAACGTTCTTTCCACTATGCAGAGAAATAACAAGTTCCTGAACAGATAGCACAATGGTGTGATTAGTAGCCTAAAATATGCATTACAGAAATGCTTAAATGGAAATAAAAGATACATGGTCCACCTAAAAAAAGCCCCCAAAATAATGTTCTAGGAGTTGCTATAACAACTTATGAGAAATCCTATTTCCCAAACTTGTGAAACTCTCTATACCGTGAGCATAGAATTCATTTCAAATTGATAGCAGCAACCTGGCCAACTGGACCTTGAACTTTAAACCCATTTTTCAATTTGAAATGATCTCATAAGAAAAGAGGTGGTGAGCTTTGATGCCTTCACAAATTTAAAAGGGAATATACAAGGTACCGTGACCAAGAGACCACATCCAACAGTATAATAGGTTGCATGCTCTTTTTAGTGGAGTCAACTGCACCAAGCAGTAAAATACATTTTTTTTAAAGGAAAAAAAAAAAGGGGGCAAAAGAAATATAACCACTGTGTTTATTAAAACTCTGAAATTTAGACATGATTTTGCTGTCTTCTTTTCACCTTTTTTTTGCTATTTTTGTGCTGACTTAGGTACTTCCATTATAAGAGGTGCACCTAACATCAAGCCTTCTTGGTATTTTCAATTTTTTTACTTTTGAAAAAACAATATTAACTTGTAGAAAGTTAAACATACCTTGCACAAATCCAATATATAAAAATGCTCAGAAGTATCAATTACAGAAGCAATTGCGAAAATAGCATGTTTGGACTGGGAGCGATTTCCTTCAAGACATATCTTCTTCAGAAAAGGGTAAAATCCACTGCATAGAGTTCAAATGTAAAAAATAATGAGGAATTGAGAAGGAAATAGAATAAGGTCTAACATATCTAAGAAAAGTGAAGGAAAAAAATCAAGAAACCTGATAAGAGAAAGGCACCACTGGCCACACCAAAAAAAAAAAAAAAACCTCAAAAAACAAGTCTACAAAGTGTTGGACTGTTCTGAACATTCAACCAAGCAAGAATAAAGTCTAGATAAATGAGAAATCCTTATTTCCATCTTCAGAAACTATATTGATATTTGATAAGTTATAACTACAAAGTATAAAATAATAATAACAATAATAATAAAACTTTATAACCAGCTGCAGCTCAAATATTAAGAATGTCCAGAAGACAACAGAAATTACCTGAATTCTACAGAAATATGAGATCCGGCTTTCTCTAAAATTTGAATGAGCTTATCATTAACTACATAACTCTCTTCAAATAACGCACAGAACTTGGCTTCTAAACCCTTGAGGAGAGTAGGGAAAGTGGTGACAATTACCTATAATAAGATAAATTCCGTGTTAGTTATGTCAAACTTTCAAAATCAATCAACCAAATTTAAATTCCTGCAGTTTAGAAACTTCTAGTTATTTAAGATATCACTGTTACTAAAACTGAAACATTAGAAAGGCAATCTCAGTAGAAATTGGTGGTGTGAATTTTAGCAGGTCCACCATCCTGATCATTTGAATTATTAAAAATCCACTAAATATTCGGTATCCTTTTAGCTAATAAACTAGAAAAACATGCCGTCTTTAATGGCATTTTGCAGCAAGTGAATTCAACACAGTAACAGAAAGTTATAGTCACAGATCCATAAGGTGAACTGTGTGCCTTATTGTTTCGTTTTACTATTGTTAGTATTTGAGCATTGAACTGTGATTCTTTTTCATTTCCCATTGTTTCATCCATCAGCTGTATGATTGATTGAAGATAAGATCAGCACAATTGAGGTGACATTGCAGCTCTTTGAATGCCATAATTCAATTCTGAGAGGAAAATTACAATAAAATTTTTCATAGGAGGATTTTACGTGCAGCAGGGGGATGAACACTAATTAGATGCTATGCACTCACCAGGAGCAATTCAACTGAAACAGCCTCAAAATGATTACTTCCAAGTGCATTGTTGGAAATGTGATCCAGAATACAACTAACATGCTCTGAGCTGAATATATTAAGCAAGCATTTTGAGGAGAGCAACTGCAAAAACTCGAAGTGTGGATGCTTATCTCCTATCATTTTTAGAAATTCATCCTGAAAAATAGGAGTAATAAAATTTAAGTATACAATGGAGAAAAATTAAATTGAAGGAAATAATTGATTAGAACATATACAACTTTTAAAAGGCAGTTGAGAAAGTTAAAGCAATGTTACATACACAGAGAATAAGTAGGATGATTAGATTAGTGATAAGAGAAACATGGTTCATGAAAAGTTTTTTGGGTAATTCGGCAGACTAATGTCGGTATCATAGCAATGTGATAGAAACAGTTAAGGCACATGATGACTGAAAAGGACATCTTTAATATGCTCTGCATATAACATGGTCAATACCCAAGAAGGCATTCAGGTTGTAGACAGTATCTTTCAATTAATTTTAATACCAAAATTAGACAAGTAACATACTCTGCTGGCCTGGAGACTTATTTTCTCTTCATCCAACAACACCTCCATTCCATTGAAAATGTTGTTGTCTTTCATTTGGTTCAATTTATAAAAGCACTCTTCAGCTTTCGATGGATCTGGGAAGGAAGTTGACATTTTCACAAAACAACTATTTATCCTCTTCTGCATATCTTCTGAACTCTTTTCCTGCAATAAATAGTTAAGAGACCTAAGAAACTGAAAGCACCAATATTTAGAAAAGAAACGGACAGCTTAACAATTTCATAAAATAAAGTGCTCTTTGTAATATGATTATTATAAGAGAAAGAAAACTAAAAGCAAAGCCAAAATCATTAATTAGTGACTGAACTTTTCAGTGCATATGTGACGTGTGCATGGGTGTGTGTATGGATTAGCTTAAGGAATGAAAAATTTGGCAGAAAGCTAGTACTAGTTTAGATCATGTAATTGTTGCTTTACAGTTTACAACCATAAACATCAATCAAGATTCAATTGAATTCCAGTTAGAAAAAGAATTATGCGCACTATACCTTCTCTTTCTTTCTTAGGGACAAATAACTCTTCATTTCTATTCGCAACCTGAAAGCATAAAAAAAGGCAATAACGAAGCATATTCAACTTTCATTCAAGTATTAACTTTGAACAAGTACCTTTGTTTCTGAGATAAAATACTGTTGAGTGCCTTCACATGATAAGAGTTGAAAAGAGAAAATAAATGGATCCAGTGCCTTGCCCTCTCCTTAACTGGAAGATCACTAGGAAATAATTCGTCCGCAAAAACAAGCTCCAGGCTTTGAGGTCTGAATCATTTAAATAATAATTAAACTTCAGAAATGAGATACTAGTTTTTTATTTTAAAAGCCAAAATATGTTCCAAATTGGCATACCTAAATTCTTTACAAACTTTATCATAGCAAAGCAACAAAACTTTGCAAGGAATCTGTTCAAAGTGATCACATGTTGTCATGTGGCCCTCAGCACACTTTTTACAGTAATCTCGATACACTTCCATCAACTTTTGCAAGGCCTTCTTTCTAACAGAAATCTGAGTATCAACGTATATGAGTGCGTAAGAGAAGCTTTAATATCTGTAACACATAAACAGTCCAGGGAAACATTACCTTTTTATCCCTAAGTCTTTCAGTAGCTTCAGATATTAGTTTGGGTGAAACATATTTGAGGTTAGACCTGGCAAGATCACAGGCAACAATCAAAGCACGTGTCCTAACTCTGTCGTCAAAGTCCAACAACCGACCTTCAAGGGCAGCTACTCATTTACAAGCCAAACATTTGAAATGTGTTGTTTAGACACTCAGACTTTGGAGATTTATATTGAGAGATATATAAAAGAAAAGAAAATGTTTAATTCCTGAACTACTTACCGAGAACTTCATCTGATTTTGCCCCAAGTGGGTTTGCCAAATAACAATCTTTAGCCCATTTTATTGCAGCAAGCCTAACATCCACAGATATATCAGAGAATCTTTTCAAGAACTCTACAAAAAGATTGTGAAATCCTTGTGCAACATGGTATTCTGGTACTGAAAAAAGCTTTCCCGTTAACTCAACAGCCTTTATTCGGACATCAACCTGATCAGTCTACAGAAAAATATAATGTGTTACTTCAACACCAGGATACATTTCTAAGATAGTAAATTATGAGTGAGTATCCATATCAGAGTTAGTGAAAAACGGGCCACCAAAATCCATATCTTGCAAGAAAGCAGCATCAGATTCATAATACTTAATCATGCTACATAAATGAAATAACATGAAAAAATTGAAAACAGATTAATAGAAGAAAGTGTTACCAGTAATTCTTGGATCAAATTAGGGATAACAGCGATAATCATCTGAGGAACGCACTGAGAAATCTTGAATATAATATCATGATAGGATTCTTTGAGCTCACTCTTTATAGCATCTCTATCCGAGAAACAAGATGTCAAAAATCCAAAAACAAAGGGCCTAAGCTTTTCTGGGCAACTTTTGATTACAGAAACAGCAAGCTGGGAAGCTACAGATGGTTCACCCTGTCCAAAGCATATAAATACATAATGCTTATGCAAGAACACTAACCAAAAATTTAATGCAGAAAGCAAAATATATCCTAAATTATCAAATCCCTAGATGACATGCACTGACAAATTTCAAATTGAAAATGGAGGAACCAAAGAAAACCATTTCCACCAACACTTACCTTATCCTCCTTTATGAGATTGTCCAAAATTATATCCAAAAGAGGGTATGACACTTCCTCACATAAAATATCCGTCATGATAGACAATATATGATTAATTAAACCCTGTCCATGGTAATCACTGCAAATAAAAGTTTAGAATAAGAATATATAATTATTGAAATCAATTGAAATAATAAAAAAATTTGACCCAGGAGATCACAAAACATGACAGATATGAAGTAAATAAAAGGCACAATATGGATAAACCAGTAGCAGTAAATTAGTGAAAAGCAATAACAATTGAAGATAGACAAAGGGTTCTGACCTCACAACAGTGAAAAAGGTATTAAACATTTGAAGAACCAAATCATCGCCGTCCATGTCCAGCATAATTACACAACATTTACATCGAGCAACAGTCTCTAATATCTTAACCCTCCAGGAGAAATACGGTTCTTTGGTATCAGATAAGTCCTTAAAAACACTGATAATAAGTTCAAAAACAACCTGAACCAAAACAATGGAAAATCGGAATACAGCACAGAGAAAAAAAATAAAAAAAAGAACACACACACACACACAACTCATACGTTTAAATTCAAATAAAAAGAAACTGTTACCCCGAGATGTTTATCTTCAAAAGGCGGTTCCGGTGCTAGGATCCGAAAAATTTCGCTGACACAGGCGGCGATCAGAAGTCTAACTTCTTTATCTCTGTGGGAAGCGAGCTCAGGCTTAACAATGGAGCTCCTGAGATCTTCAGTGGCATCAAGCAACTTTTGAATGGCGCCTTCCTTTCCGGCGTCTTCGAGAGACGACGGTTGTTCTATATGCGACAAAGAACTGGAAGCTTGCTGCAAAAGAGAAGTAGCAGATGAAGTTCAAATAAACGCGAGCTTGTGTAGACGTAAAATCGGAAGGTAACGGAATAATGGCTTACTTTGAGAGTTTTGGCGAGAGAATCTTTGTTGCGACGGGAGATTTTGGCGAGTCTAGAGCCGATTTCGGCGACGGCTCGCAGCCGGGAATCGTCCATCGGAGTCGGAGAGGGGATCTGAGGGTTTTGGGTCCCTTCTGTTCTCCGGGAGGAAATTGCTCGAAACGCTTTAAGCACGGAGACTCCCGCCCTTTCAGCGCGCGTCAACTCCACGCGCAAAATTTCTTCTTTTTTTTTTAATATTAACTGGGCCTAAGGCCCTAAACCAAGTTTTCTTGGCGGACCGGTCCCTAACTAAGTTCCAATCTTAGCCCTTGTCAATTTAGATCCATAATATCCAGCCCATTGTGAAATCAAAACCTAAAATGGCCCGTTTTGGCCTCAATTAAGCTTTAATCTCAGCCCACTCCATTTTAGATCCATATCCGGCCCATTTTCTATGCCTTTCTCCTCTTTTACTCACTAGAGACGCAGTCCAAGTGAGACCAGCGGAGAAGTCGGAACTCCAAGGTCGGCGGCGGGTTTACATCGACGGCAGCGAAATGGACATTGTAAACAAGCTGGCGGGCTTAGTGACGAAAGCAGCAAACAATAACGTGGTGATCGACGGGTTACTGGTGAGCTCGTTCTTGGCGCTGTGCGTGAGATCAGTGAACCAGGAAAAGAACATCGAAACCCTAGAGGCAGAGAAGGAATCTCTGACCAAAACCAACAAGGCCATGAAAAAGGCTATGTGGGATTGGAAGCAGCAGCTCTTCGCTGAAGCAGCCTCTGATTCCACTCTCGTCCCTCTTGCCACACTCAAGGCCATTTATGGCGAAGCCCCTGGTCCTCAAATCGGTACTTACCCTACTTCCTCTGCTTTTTTGGTATTGGTAACAAAAATTTAACTTTTACTTTTTGGGGTTTGGTATAATTTTTAAGTAATACAAAGCATGTTATTTGTTATTGTTTTTCTAAGATGGGGTGTATAATTCCATAGTGAGAATTTACATTCAATTTTTCTGGGGTCCTCTGGATTTGAATATGATCAGCATTGAACTTTACAATTTGATATGCATTAAAAGGATGAGCTTTAAAGCATGCTTGCAGTATTGGCACAAAAAAGAGGGGGTGGGAAAGTGCATGATCTCAATGCATAGAAATTTGTTTTTTGATTTTGTTCGCTAGATAGGAAGGAAGGAGTTCTTCTCAACTTCGGATGCGTGCTAGTGATTCTAGAGTGTTAATATTGGGATAGTAGTATGAATGGACAAGAGAAAATCCATGAAAGTTGCATTGACTTCCAGTTTCTTGCTAAGATAGAGTTTTGTAATTTTTGGGTTATCTTTCACCATTTTAGCTGTAAACTTAATAAGCTAAAGTTTGACAAATTGCAATCTTCTTCATTCAGTGTGGATGGTTTATAATTGTTAAATGAAGCTAGTTCAGACAAGCAATTGACAATAAAGGGAATTAGTTGTGTTGCTCATGTTGGCATAAGAACAAGCAACAATACAAGAAATATTTCTGTTTGTTGAGACAATCTCATGGTCATCAGTTGTTGAAGTGGCTCTTGTATGTTTCAAGAGTCTTCATTTTTAATATATATTGGGAGTGAGGGATTTGAACTCATCTCTATTGGATGGGATGACATTTATTTTACGAATTGAGCTACAAGCTTAAGTACAAGAATATACTTTCCACTTTTTTCTTCTACAGCATGTCAGTTAATGTAAATAGCATTAATGACACTTCTATGGGCTTTTAGTTTTGTAATTACATTTTAGATTTCCATGAGTGGATGTTTTAGGTTCTTCCGTCAGTTGTCATTTAACCCATTTCAGTGAAATATGCTGTTGCAATATATACGTCGCTGAAAGGATTATGCACCGGTCAAATTGACTGAGGTGAAATATAAATCATTTTGCATCTCACTCATTTTACCATGGCTTATGCAGGGGATGCTGCTAAGAAAGACACAAAATCTCCTGCATCTGAAATTGTGGTTTGAGTCCTGTTCGCTTGTCTTTGAGGGCAACAGAATTGTTAGGCGTCAAACTGTTGATAATTGTAACCTCATTGAAAGCAAGATCTTATTAGACCAAATATGAATTCCTGAATTAGCCGGAGTAATTATGTTAAATTGATTATTCGTCACTTTTGGTGAATGAAGAGTGGAATTTCATGGCTTAGAAAACATTTGCCTCATTTTCTGCTGAAATTTATTTGGAGGTAAAGAAATTAAGAGTTTATTAAACTCTTCTTCCTCTTCTTTGTTGGTCTTTAATTACCTGTTTTAAGTTCTGTGTTCAAGTTGAAACCATGAATTTGGATTTATTTTCAAAATTGAATGACTTCCCATTTCCCTATGCCCACTATTGATAAATAAATCAAGTGATTTTGGTTGAGTGATAAGTGAAGAAATGATGTGTCTAATAATTTCCATACCAAAATTGTTGCTATGATGGAAGAATAGAATAAGGAATGGTTGAAGAATAGAATAAGGAATGGTTGAAGAATAGAATAAGGAATGGTTGAAGAATAGAATAAGGAATGGTTGAAGAATAGGTTTTGGATTTTGAATTCAAAGTGCAATCCTGAAGGAATGTCATGATAG